GAGTATTTACTCCAGAGGAGGAGAGGAATCTGATAAATGTTGACAGGCTGAGTAGAAATTCAATAAACTGTAATGTCTTCACTGGGACAAAGAATTGTGTAAACCCGAATGGCTTCAAATCTTACTACAGGTAAGCATGTGTCATTACTGAGACACCAAGTGCTGAGGTTATTGGGTTCCAATCATTCTATTGTAGATCTTCATTTAAAGGTCACCTTCTCACTCAAAATGGAGCTGGGCAAACAAAAACAGTGGAAACCCTGTGTGAAATGCATCAACAGCCCAATTGCTTTGGATAACTGTCTATGTAACAGTTCTAGACAAAATAAGAATTTCTGCTCCGAAATCACACACTCTCTGAAAGTGAGGAGAGTCCACTCCTGAAGACTGTTTCCCTTGGCACCAATACTGGTCATCACCTCAGCACCCTCTTCCATCCTTTTGATAGGATCCCATTTGGACTGAATTACTCCCCTTTTAGTCTGATGCTGTCTTTTTCTTGATTTCGGTTGGGGTCTAAACAACATCAGGCCTGGAAAAGTAAGATTTCTTCTATTTCTCTTCTCCCTGAGGAATTTATACTAGAGACATATCACCACTACAGAGACTGTGAATAAATCCCAAAGGCAGTATTAAAGCAGTGCTGGTCGTTCAACTAGCATTAATAAATTAATGTGCCCTGTTAAAAAAGTCCTGTAATGTTGATTTTTCAAGCTTGATCTTTGATTTCTTCCCTTTCTCAGAAATCCAATTACTCATTCATATTTTCCCACTACTGATGTGAGACAGTATCTTGAATCCCTTTTGTTCTTTTTAATCATATTTATTTCCTCTATTAGATATTGTGATGAACTTTCAGCTCCAGAGTCTTTGAAGCTGTTTTCTGACATTTTTGGGGCCTATCCACAGACAGATGGAAAGATGACCAAGAACCTCTATTACTCAGTAATTATTTTTCTTATCTGTTTTCCTGGGCAGTTCCCACTTTAAACAAGAAACCTTGCAAAGAAGAATTTTAAATTGACTGCCATAGTGACAAGGCAGACAGGTCTACAGAAATACTCAATCTATACCCTACTTAAAGTGTTAAAAAAAGGCCCTTAAAGAATTACTTCGGGAGAAGAAATAGGTAAGTACTACATTTTATGGCAATTAGCCATACTAGCCTTCTTTGTTTTGATGAGGGAAGGCTTCCTTTACCCTAGCTCCCTTGCAGGCTGAGAATTACAAAAGGAAAATTTACTGTTGTGGAATAAATATAAACTAATCATGCAGTATGAAAGTATTTTTGTGTAGTCAAACATGTCTTGGTAATAAAAATAAAGAAAACACTGAGTAACTAGTGTGTGAGGATATATAAAATACTCTAACAGAGCCAAATCAATGGTTTGGAAATAATTTCTCTCTCCTGTCCTTGTGGAAGTACCTTTTGTATACTGGAGGTGCCTGAGAGTAAATTACAGTAGATTCGGGAGCACAACCTATTTTCCCCATATTTGTTCTCTTCTTTGAATTAATCTCAGATACAACAAAATAACCTGTCAAACTGCTTATAATGTATGGACTTATCTAGATAATTGGATTATATATACATTATATTCCAACCATACTGTGTGTCTTTCAAGCAACAAAAGAAGATTCATACTAAGGAAATCCATGTAATATAGCACTTATTCGCAGAAAAAAGATATACCGGTTGGAGAAATCGTCAGGGAAAAGCTGTGACAGCATAGCTGTAAAAAGATAAATAATAATCACAAGGGAATACTGAGTGAGAAAATTGTCTAGGAAGAAGACAGTGTCCCCTGTAG